CGCCAGGGATGGCGACTCAACCCCCCCCCCAGGCAGTCTGTTCCAGGGTCTGACCGCTCTTTCCGTGAAGAATTTCTTCCTAATGTCCAGCCTAAACCTGCCCTGTTGCAACTTGCAACCCTTCCCCCTGGTTCTGTCCCTAATTCCCTGTGAGAAGAGACCAGCACCAACCTCTCTACAATGTCCTGTCAAGTAACTGTAGAGCATGAGGAGATCCCCCCTCAGCCTCCTCTTGGTCAAACTGAACAGACCCAGCTCCCTCAATCGCTCCTCACAAGGTCTGTTCTCCAGGCCCTTCCCCAGCTTTGTTGCCCTCCTCTGCACTCGCTCCAACACCTCGAGATCTCTCCTGTACTGAGGGGCCCAAAACTGAACACGACACTCAAGGTGCGGCCTCACCAGTGCTGAGCACAGAGGGACAATCACCTCCCTTCTCCTGCTGGTCACAACATTTCTAACACAAGCCAGGATGCCGTTGGCCTTCTTGGCCCCCTGGGCACATGCTGGCTCATGCTCAGCCGACTGGCAATTAGAACAGGATAGATTAATTTCTGCGTGTTTTCGGTGTGGAGCCGAGCTCTCCGAAGCAGGGCTTGCAGCAGCACAGCTCCCACAGGAGAACTGGCATATGCATCCCCATCGCTTTAGCGGGCACCAGATGGGAGATGAATCCAAAGGTGATTCATCCGGCTATTTTTTGTAGGGCCGGGGACGGTTTTTGCCATGGGCAGGCGGAGCGGTGCATGCGAGGAGGCTGGGGAGAGCTGAGGTGGTGTTAGGCATTAGGTGGGGCTCTTTTAAAGAGGGAATATTTAAAGCCTTGTCACCCTCTGCACAAGGTGTCTCATTTGTGTAATCTAAACTTGCGAATTTCCAAAGGGAAAATTCAGTAGTTTCCCCCTTTAATTATAGATACAGTGGGAATTCTAGGCTTTTGCTTCTGCCACAGTTTTGAAAGGAAGTTTGTTTTTTTTTTTAAGGTAAAATGATGATGCTTCAGTAGTTATGGTGGAATTAAAACTGGAAGGAGTTGATATTAATGCTAGCTTGATCTGGTGCCTGTTGATATTCCATGTGAATAAAACCTTGATCTGTTTGAAGGAGAAATGTCTTGAAGTGCATTAAGACTCTATCCAAATGTTGGTTGAAGCAGGTATTTAAATAGAATCAAGCCAAGCAGCACCTCATTTTCCCCCTCCTTTTGTGAAATGATTAAAAGCAGGGGTATGGCGTGTGGAATAGAAAATCCGATCAGATTTTAGGGTTTCTAGACATCACAGTGTGTGGTGGGAAGGGAAATGATTTGCCAGAAGACTTCAGTGTTCTTTGGGGGTTGTGATTTACCAAAGCAAATCTTATTACGGCTTTGATTATATCCCTTTGCACCTCGAAAGAATTAAATTTGACTGGTTGCATCGGCGGCCGCGGGAGGAAAAACCAGCTTGTTTGCGACGCCGCAGACCCGTTGCTGGGATTTACAGCGTGGACTGCCGTGGGAAGGTATTGGATTTGCTCATCTCTGTCTCTTGAGGATTATCGTCGTCACTGGGTCTGGAGCGAAACCCTCCTCTTCTTGCAATCCCCTGGCTGTTTGTCCTGCCCCAGCTTGTACTGTTTGTTGTTCAACCCAACTCTGGGGCCCCAGGACAAGTTTGAAGAAGGGATTCAGGAATCCTGCCCCTGTGAGATGTGTTGCTTCCGAACGCCTGCTCAGCAAAGAGACTGTTTGCTCTGCCGTTACGAAGGCAGCTTTTTAATTTTGTGGGGAACCCGATTGTGCCTGTGGAGCAGAACGTGTTGAAAATTCACACAGGGAGTTACAATTTTGGCTTGGGAAAATATTTTTTTTTCCCCAAAGGCTGCCTAGTGAATTAGTTTAGAGATAACTGAAGTTTGCAGATGCTGCTTAAGTACCATAGGGCAGATTTTGTTGCAAGATTTAAAAACCAAAGCACACAACAACAGTACAACCACTGAAAAACCAGAAACCGCTTGACAATACCACCCCAAAATCTTGACTTAAATTCTCCTGAATGGTTATCCTCATAGAGAACGAGCATCTCTGGAAGCTTCTATAAGGAACACAAGCTTTTGCTTGTGCACGTCTGTGATTCTGTGTCGAACTTTTACACGTACCTGCGATGTGTGACGGCTAAAATAAGTCGTACAGCTCTTCTCTCTTCCTGATGGGAGATGGCAAATTCCAGCTGTGTGAAGGTTAGGAGAAAACAACTGAAGGTGATGTGTTCTTGAGTAATTTCGTTTTTTTTCTAAATAATTTGCCTACAACTGAGAGTATTTAAACATACTGCAATAAGGCGAGTGGGGATGTTCCAGTTTCTGTGTATCTTCCTGGTCCCCTCCCAGTGCAGGTGGCACGAGTAGGAAGAAGTTGTCCCTTGGGCCTGAGTTAGGCTTTGTACCACCTCAGCTGTATTGTTGGTCTTGGGAGCAGAAAGTAACTGTTGTGACGATGGTTGTTTTAAAATGAACCTCGTATTACTTGTCCTTTAAGGAAAAAGAGATTACAAGGCAGTCTGATACCTGGCTGGGATGTTACGGTGCACGCGGTTTAAGCTGATCTCCGTTGTGAAATGAGAGCCTTGATGTAGCCTGTGGTTTAATCTTTAAGCTTGAGTCATGGTTACGGAGGAGTCTCACAAATGGCCGCGTGAAAAAGGCTTCGCCTGCATCTCGGTGACTGTCACGTGTGCCTGCCCATGCTGCGGTGACGTCTTCTGAGCCGACTGGCTCCCTAACCACGTTAGGCTGAAGGAATACCCCCAGCATGAGCTGTGGCCATCCCTGCGGTGGCTGATGACATTTTTAACAGCACATGAGGCTGCTTACGCAAGAAGATGTAGAGGATACGTTGTCCAAGGGAAGACCTCATTCGTGTTTATAAATATGGAAAGTGGGAGTGTCAGGAGGACGGAGCCAGGCTCTGCTCAGGGATGTCCAGTGACAGGACAGGGGGCAATGGGTGCAAGCTGGAGCACAGGAGGTTCCA